CAATGCAGATGTGTTAACTCACAGCTGAGCGAAATTCTCGCCTGCCTGAATATACTTGGATTTCAGCAACTCAATGGAGTGAGATTATCACGCACGAAGAGTGATGCCATCTTTGATTATTGATGACACTTGCACGCGCCATCTTGCGGCAACTGCTTTTGCTATTAGAGCCATCAGCCCCCGCCCCTCCCCCCACCTTCTCCCAACCACCACCACTACGCTCGCGCTCGACGCATATCCATGATAACATGTTAATATAGCGAAGTCATTAAAGTTACACAGCTGTATCTTTATTACTGTACTACCGGTATAGCAAAGCCTAGCTATCATATATTTTAGATCTGTATTAGTAGTATCCTATATATATATATGCTCTGAGCGCGAACGCGGTGGCGGGAGGGCGCACTTGATTCGGTTGCCAGTGAGTTTATCAGAAGAATACCCGGCTACAGTACACGTCAGTTGAGCGCTGTCGCTCTGCGGCACTTGTTATAGACGCAGATGAACAGCACAGTCAAAACAGTGTGCGCGTACTCGTTAGCGGATTCCGGCGTCTCACTCGTTGTCCCTAAAACCTATCTCTTTTAACCCGTCCGCATCGTCGTCGCGACCTGTTCAGACTTCCACTAACTTATGGCGCGAGTCGTGGGTACAACGACCGGTCGCGACCAACGTACAAAGGTACCAGGTAGAAGCGGCGAGCACCGTGTACGATGCCCGCTTAATGATGGCCATTTGATAAACTCCGCCGCATTCTTGTTAAAGTTAATGTGTTCGTACCATTTTGAAATGCATTCTGTCCACGCTAAATTATGTGTGCTCTTTAGTATGTAGCTAATGCCTTCTGGGTCCATCGCCGGCCGTCCCTGCACATTTTCCTGATTAATGTGCCAAATTCCCTATGTCTCTATCTCAAAGCTAAAACACCGTACTACATTTCACCCCGCCCTAAGAAAAGTCGATGAAATCGGCTTAGCCCAGTCTCCTGACTGGAAGAAAACCCTCAATAAATTTTTTCCCAAATGGCTTATGTGAGCCACCGACAATGTGAACGGCTGTACTATCATCGTAACATGTGTGATTGTAACTGTAACCGCTTAAGTATATAATAATATCATACTGAAAACATAACCACAACCGCACAATAGCATAATTATAGTCAACCCGCAACCGTAACATTATCCGTCGGACTAGCGAGCTGTCCCGGCGATGGGGGCGATGCCGTCGGCCCGTCCGCGACTAATTTGAACGTGTTCCCTTCTTTATACGCTCTTGATCCTATGTAATCGTCGCTCAATATCATATGAACACCTTTGTAACCTATAGGAAAATCCGAAATGTGTCTGCTGTCGTGTAGTGGCCAGCAACTAGTGTATCTAGGCCAGCAATGTACGATACATAGCGTGTACAGTGCGCACGCGATCTATAATATCACGAGGTCTTTGTCATCGCATAAGGTACTCAGGGTAATGGCCACATCGGGTAGAGGTGGGTGCGCATGGCAAAGGTCGAGGGTGTGACGCGAGCATGTGTACACCTGGGTGCGGGTTTTGTTGGCGCATTTCTTTCTGGGCGTGTCGACGGTAGGTGTGCACAGCAGTCGCAGGATTATAAGCCAGCATCCGTGCGGTGGAAGGAAACACGGCAGCTAAAATGAGAGTGCTCGATGTAGTGGCGATCGCCGTAATGGTATGCATGGTGAACGGTAGACACTACTGCATGCCTGATGAAACGTGCTGGCCGAGTGCGGAAACAATAGAGAAATTCGACAAATCTCTCTCTACAGCAGCAAATGTTCTGACTCCAGACCTTGGCGCGTGGTTTTGGGGAGCGTGTACGATGCTGAACACGTATCAGCAAAGGTAAGGACAGTGGGAAAGTTATGTTAACAAGCACTGTTTTCGACTTTCTCTCGCACACATGTGCGTACTCGTATCCGCACACAGGAGCGACCTACATGAATGCACGCGCACGCTACCCCGAGCGCACAAATGAGCTCGCACACACTCGCGCGCGCACACACATACACACATACACACACACGCGCGCGCGCACACACACATACACACACACAAACACACACACACACACACGAGATATGTAAGAGGGTGCGGAGGGAGAGTGAGCGAGAGAATAGAGGAGAGAGGCGGGTGGAGACAGTATTGGGCGGGAGGACAAAAGAGTAGAAAACGAAGAGGTTTTATAAACAGCCAGCGTAGTAGGTAGTTCAATGCTATTCAAAATCAGAATTTGAAACGCGAATAGAAGGCGATATAGCATAACCGGTACTTACCGTGATAATGACCGCCATGGCGGAAACGAGTTTCCTACCCCATTGATATAATTAGTAAGTACATGTGTTTTTTTCCCGATACAAATACCCAAGAAAGTAGGACGTCTATAGATAGAAAAGCATAGCGTGCATAACATGTCCTAACTCGATTTGTCCTGCAGCCTTCATCAAGGCATGAGTGGCGAACCATAGGGGGGGCCGCGGCCCGACCCTGACCCGGCGCAAATATGGCCTCGGGGTGTGTACTACACGAACCGGGGTTCGAATCTCCCGAACTACGCCTGCCATTTCTGGCGGACCACAAGTACGATCGTTTACTCGAGATCAGAAAGTAACATGATCCCAATAAACAGTGTTCCTTTGCAACCAATGCGTTGGCTGGGAGAAGGTAGCAACGCGGCAGTGGGCTGACAACTGTACTATACATGAGCCACTCTTGCCCTGCGCTCTCATACACGCTTTCATCTAAATAGATATTCCTAGATCGGACAGTAGATTTCTGTTGCTCTGCTAGAAGCGGCTGGGAATACATATGTGCATAGATTAGTGTTGTGTAGTATGCGTCGCGAAGGAGTGCGTGTGTTGAATCAATATTATTAGTAGTTTATCAGTAGCAGCCAATCACATACACATACAGATAAAAGTGCTCTTATCAATCAGTTGACACTCTCAACTGTTTATTTCTGGACAGCAGTGTACGTGTTCAAATAAGCGAGTAATCATAACTCTTAGGCGAAACATTGATGCCTGGTTATACCCTGAATATAATGTGAGTTGCGGCAGCTTGTGAGGCAATATATCTATCGTCATCGTTCATCGAAAATTATGACAAGTGATTCTCGCGAACGCGCTTTTAAGAGTTTTACCAGGGACTAGAAAACAGCAAATAAATGCAATATTAATTCAAATAAATTAGCGCTTTAAGGTTTGCCCACTCAAATCAATAAGAAATTTTAGCTTGTCATGTGCCAAATAATAAAATACTCAAGTTTGTTTTTCACGATAGTTGTGTCACGTGTAACCATGCAGGCATTCAATATTTAGTTTACTCAGTAGCGTTATTACCGCTATCGATACGTTAGCGCTACTCACACTTATTATGTTTGTCTTGCGTCAATCATTGTCTCGCAGATTACATTTATATGAAAGGCAAATCACAATTTATATGTATACCCAACGCTATTAAATAAGAAAGTTGTTTACTGTGTATTATGCTGGATTTACTCACAGGGCGACCCCGCTTCCTAATATTTATGCCCAAAGACCCAGTCCAGAGTTTAGCACGTGCGGAATTTATGAGAAAGTCGCTACGTCTTACTCAAACTACCGAGCTGTATCTGTAAACGTGGAAGTATACACCAAAGATTTAAATAAATAATTTAGAGTAAAATAATCAGAAACAGTATATATTTGTGTTTACTAAAAGAATCTATTGTTTACAATTAATTACAGGTCTCACACGGTACACGCTACTGCGAATGCCAGCTCCAACAGAAGTCCTGCTGACCTTTCTTCAAATTCTATTTATAACAAACTCTCACCAATCACAAACAAAGTCAAAACTTTTCTTAACCAATTACACACACATTCACCCTGCCTAACTATTAACTGCCTACGCTTTGTCTATTCTAACCACCACATATGCGTCACAGGCATGTATCCGATCTTGCCCTGTGTTTAGACTAAATATTCTAAACAACACGTTACAATTGCACACGCAACCTACCCATTATCAATAACCACAATGCTAACTGACTACTCTACCCCAGGCCCAGCCATATATTTTTACCGGCGTGTGTTTGTTCGTGTTGTGTGTTATGTGGGTTTGTGGGTTTGTGTACAACTGAAACAGTTATGCACGGAATTGTCATAAAAATATTTCAGCGAATAGCGTCCGAAATGGGCTAAATTTAGAATGATGAGATTTTGGTGGTAATCCCGGATCAGAATGTAAATTAATTAATTAATTAATTACATTTCAGGCATCAGGTCACAAATGGGTAACTTAGATTGATTACTTTTGGTAGTAATCCGGATCCAATTAATTAATTATCCAATTAAAATTTTGCTCTCCGGTGCTCTATTAGCAATAAAATCTAGCTAAAATTACTAATGTAGGCCTTATGTAAACATCTGTAAAACACATTGTTACATTTACCTCCCCCTCCTTCTTCAAACGATGACCCCATCATCGATCAGCGTCCCAGCTGATCTAAAATTTCCCTTCTAACTACCTTCATACCACACCAATATCTAAAACAAACCCACACGCACGCACGCATCGGCCACACACGCACCAGCCCACAACACCACACACTACACACAACACACACACACACACACAAGTATTTGGCGGCGGCGGGAAGCTGCCCCACCGTCACGATGGGTGGCTACCTGGTAGGAGGAGGTCACGGACCGAACACCAGAAACATCGGTCTCGGCTCTGATAACGTGATCGGCGTTACCATGGTGCTTGCCAACGGCAGCATCGCTCAACTAAAGCAGGACAGCACCATCATAACAGACGTTGACGGAAAGGTAGGCTAGGTGCACGCGGTTCTAGCGAGTATGACATCGTTATATGCAAGACCTGCACGTTTGCCGTAACCTAATGGGAGATTAACTAAGACCTTACGGAAAAACGAAATCGACTTCGATTTTAGAACGAAACAAAATAATGAGCTTAATAAATAAAGTTATTAAGTATTAGTATATAAGCTTAAAATAAATGTAATAAATGAGGTAGCGATACTTTTCGCCTATAATAGCCTACTCTACGTATATGTGTGGTTTGTTTCGTGAAACGTTACAAAAAGAACATTTTAATCGCATAAGCGTGCGGCGAAGGGAGCTGCAGACCGTCCCCAATGTTCCTCGAATTAGCATTATCATAATAATAGTACATTCGGACATTTTCTGTTTGGTATATTTGCTCGAAAATTTAATAAATTCCATTAAAAGTATGAACATGCGCATACTTTTTAAATTATATCAAAATGCTGAAAGTGCTGTATTTATAATTTATATTAAGACGGGGTTCTGAGCTTAACATACTACACCCGGCGCTGTTGATTTGCAGCTTCAGCACCTGGGAAGTAGCCTGACATCAGGAATCGTAGAAACAACATGCTAACGATAAATCTTGTTTTGCCAACACGTCAATGCTTCCTCATTATTCGTCAGTCGAGACAAAACTGTGCTCTCTTCCATAAGAAAAAACTCAGGCTATAGGGCTATAGTCTATAGGGCTATAGGCTATAGGTACTAGGAGCGAATGCTGAGATAAAGATGCGTGTGAGTTACAGTGAATGGATCTAAGCATGACATTCTGCGTATGCAGCGATTAGTGAAGCACCGTCGATACAACAACACGATACAAAATTGATTAGCTATCGGTATCGCTCCAATATTGCTGCGCGCAGCTTTGGTGTAATGCAAAATGTACCAGGTATTTGCTGAACTACTACTAAATACGTCAATCTATTGCTTCAGGAAAGTTCCAGTGATGACCCGGACTTGTTCTGGGCCATCCGCGGTGGCGGCGGTGCCTTCGGGGTCATCACCGAGTTTACAGTGAAGCTACACAAGGCCAATACGGGGTTCACAATGTTCTACGCTAACTTCAAGTTCAACGATGAAGTCGAGAAGAATAAGGTGTACGCAGGCGACGTGATGGCGTTCTACTTTGACAAGGTTCTGCCAAACATGGACCAGGGCTGGAGCGGGTACATTATTCCATCTGCAGGAATGCGGACGCCGGCGGGATTCACGGCAGGCAGGGTGCAATTCATCCTGCTTCACAACGGCAAGGCAACCACCGCGGAACGAGAGCAGGTGATGCCCTTAACGACCTTCCGCCCCGAATTGCAAACCGAGGCCACCTTTACGGATTTCACCGATTTCTGGGAATATCAGAAGAACGTCAACGATCCCACGGGGTTTCCTGTTGGAATAGACAGTCGTCTGCAACAGATGGAGTTTCTCACAAACGACTTCGCACAGGAGATGTCGAAGCTAATGTACGATGGAGCGACTAGAGGGGACGACTTTGCCCACATCTCCTGCACGATGGTGCATGTCGGAGGTACGCGCTGCGCACATGACAGTTTTACATGCATTAGAATACGTAATGTAGATCAGGCCACCAGACAGTCAACCCTGTTTACATATATTGGGTAGAAAATCCTTTATGAATGTGTATCTATGAATGTGTATGTATGTATGTATTAGACGGGCGGCGCATAAAATTCGCGGATCAGCTTAACCTTCCAAAACCAGGGCTCACCAAGATGTTTAACCATATTATCGCCATTATGCTACGTATAGGGCGTCAATAATAATAATAACATGAAATTCGTCGCGTCTCTAAACACTAATAACGTGCGTGACATTACATCACATAACATTAGCGGTAACCGTTAGGAGTAGATATCGACGGAGCTAACTCGTTTTACTCGTTCATCAAGGTCTGGCATCGGGCAACCGTAACACGACGTCGGTTAGCGACGACATGCGTGACGCGACGCTGTCATCTACCTGCGGAGGAACATGGAACGAATATGGCGAAGA